GCGTGGCAGAACAGCTGGGTGGGGCTGTGTGTGTGGCGAGGCCAGGGGACGTGAGGCTGCGCCCCCTGCCCAGTGCCGGCCGAGGACGTGATGATGTTATTGTTTATTTATTAATAAACTAGAGGCCTGGGGCACAAAAATTTGTGCACTCGAGGGGGTCTCTCAGCCCGGCCTGTGCCCTCTCGCAGTCTGGGACCCTTCGGGGGATGTCCACCTGCTGGCTTAGGGCCACTCCACGGGGCATCGGGCCTAAGCTGGCAGCCAGACATCCCTCTGGCAGCCCGGGAGCCCTCGGGGGATGTCCACTTGTCAGCGGGGAGCAGACCTAAGCTGCATCCTTAGTGGACATCCTTAGCGCTGCTGAGGAGGCGGGAGAGGCTCCCGCCACCACCGCTGTGCTGACAGCCGTCAGCCTGGCTTCTGGCTGAGCAAAGCTCCCTCTGTGGGAGTGCACTGACCACCAGGGGGCAGTTTCTGCATTGAGTGTCTGCCCCCTGGCGGTCAGTGTGTGTCATAGTGACCAGTCATTCCCAGTCGTTCTGCTGTTAGGGTCAATTTGCATATTACCCTTTTATTATATAGGATATAGGACTGTACATGGGTGGGGCCAGCTGGCTTGCCCTGAAGGGTGTCTCAGATCAGGGTGGGGGTCCCACTGGAATGCCTGGCCAGCCTGGGTGAGGGGCTGAGAGTCGTTTTCGGGCTGGCCATGCCCCACAGTGACCCAAGCTCCCAGCCTCTCCTTTTTTTCTTTTCTTTTTTTCAGCGCCACTGGAAGCAGGTATCTGGGATTTACTTATCTTCTATAGTTGAAACTTTGTGGCCTTGAGTGGAGCCAAGGGTTGGACAGGGCAGGAAGGAAACTTGGCTTCCTCCATTGCCGGGGGCAACCCAAGCCTTCAGGTTGCTCCAGCTCCATGGCCACCGCCATCTTAGTTGGGTTACTTTGCGTACTTGCTCCTGCTTGGCTGGTGGGCGTGGCCTGAGCGTAGCAGAGGGGTGGTTAATTTGCATGTTTTTCTTTTATTATATAGGATTTATATATTATTTTCATATACATTTTGCTAATTTTCTTTCATCTCTGACACTTCTATTATAGAGAAAGGGATACTAACAATAATAAAAAATTTCCTCTAATTAATTCCCTTTTAATATGCATGAATTTCATGCACCGGGCCCCTAGATATTAAATGAGACACTAAGAAATGGCATGTGTGTATGGCAACATCTCTAAGGGATCAGTGTGAGGTACACTGTGGCGTATATAATCTAACTACTATGTTACCAGTAGCCTGTGTGACATGAAAATATTAAAACTAGGTTCGAGATTAACAAACTATTGCTACAAAGAACCAGAGAGTAAATATTTCAGTCTTTGTGGGCCACAATGGACCTCTATAAAGTATTCTTCTCCTCCCATCTTTTTCTTTTTTTAAAAAACAATCCTTGAAAAACATAGCCCTGTTTAGCTCCTGGGCCTGTACAAAGAAAGGCTGGCCTAATTTGGACTATGTGCCAACCTCTGAGCATAATATTTACTAAAAGAAAAGTGTAGGATTAGGGTAAGATGTATTAATAATTTAAATTTGTAAGAGCTTTTCAAACATTTAGTGTTTACTTATTCGACCAAATTTGTATGAGTGGCTACACATATATAAATTCAATTTAAATTGTTTAAGTAATCTGTGAATCCTTTCCTTCCTCAGCTATATTGGAAAAAAACAAATAATAATATAATTGCAACTACTACATAGAAGACTAAAAGAATTCTCACTTAAAGGATTCTCACTTAGATAATTGGGTCTTATATAACCACTAGAGGCCTGGTGCAAAAAATTCATGCACTGGGGAATAGTTACCTCAGTTTGGCCTATGCCCTCTCACAGTCTGGGAGCAGGTGTGTGCCATCAGTGAGACATCCTTAGCATTGCCATAGAGGCAGGAGAGGCTCCTGCCACCGCCGCTGCACTCGCCAGCCTTGAACTCGGCTTCTGGCTGAGCAAGGCTCTTCCTGTGGGAGCGCACTGACCACCAGGGGGCAGCTCCTGCGTTGAGTGTCTGCCCCCTGGTGGTCAGTGCACGTCATAGCGACCAGTCTTTCTACCATTTGGTCTATTTGCATATTAGCCTTTTCTTATATAGGACTAGAGGCCTGGTGCAAAAATTCGTGAACAGGGGAAGGGGGGCCCACTCAGCCCAGTCTGCAACCTCTCACAATCCGGGACCACTGGCTCCTAACTGCTCACCTGCTTGCCTGCCTGATCGCTCCTAACTGCCCCCATTGCCAACCTGATCACCCCTAAACCACCTCTGCCTGCCAGCCTGATTGCCCCTAACTGCCCACCCACTGTCCTGGTCACCCCTTACTGCCCCCCTGCCGGCCTCATTGCCCCCCCTGCCTGCCTATCGCTCTTTACTGCTACCCCCCGCCAACCTGGTCATCCCCAACTTCACCCCCTACAGGCCTGGTCACCCCAACTACCCCCCTCTGCTCCCTCTTGTCACCCCACACAGCCTGCCAGCCTGCTGTTCGGTGGTTACTGTTACTGTAACAGCGTCCCAGACAATTTGCATATAGATACTTGCGTTCATACATTAATACAGTGGTTCTCAACCTTCCTAATGCCGCGACCCTTTAATACAATTCCTCATGTTGTGGTGAGTCTCAACCATAAAATTAGTTTTGTTGCTAC